CGAATAAGTCTGTTTAAAGGTTTGGAAACTTGTTTTGCAATGTTTTTGTGTGGCTATTTTCCTACCGTAGAAGTTGGGTTTTTTTGTTCTGAAGCGTACTAACATTTCAATATTAAAGGACAAGCCCTAATTAATCAAGTTATGGGTCGACCCTTTGGGGTTCTAGGGGAGAGGTTTTTTGAATGAATATGCTGGCCTGGAAAAAACTGAAAAGGGATAATCATGCCTAAGACAGGATGGATATAAAAATTCTGCCCCATAAAATGCAAGAAATAATGAAGTAAAAAATAAAAACTAAATATTTGCGCGTCAAATACCCAAATGAATAAGCCGGCTTAGTAACTGGTGAAAATGATTATTCCGTCAGCGAAAAATTCACCTGTCTAAAAAATCAAAATAATATTCCTTTACCATTACAAAATTGTTATAGCCGTATGGTTTTATATACGTGTACAAAGGTAGTTAGATGTAAATATACTAGTATCGAATGTGGTAAAGTATTCTCTTTCGTTTCAGTCTTTTGTTATTTAGAATTTGGTTGATTCCGTTTAATTCATTCTGATGCTTTAAGTTGTTGATCGTCATTGTAATGTCTATTTCAGGTTTATTTGTTTTACCACAAATCCATTTATTGAAGATTATTCTGTTTACTAGTATTAGACAATTTTTGAAAAACTTGTTCAATTAGTATAAGTTTCTTTACCATTAACCTACTTTTTTTAGAAGTTTCAGCTTGCAAGTCAATTTCCCACTAGTTTCAAAATCATATTCATATAATAAAATACAGATTACTGTGAAATGTATAACACAATTTACAATTCCTTTTAGATGTGACCGAACAATGATCTTTGCAATGCTCTTGTGAATTCTAAATATCACAGCTCTCATTTTGATGTGAATTTAATGAGCTCCCAGTGGGCCTTATTAGACGGATACTTACATGTCTTTTATCATATATTTGTATACAAATAGTGTCGTCTTGCCACTAGATTCCATCGTTGTTTCACTGGGAGTTTGCAATTAATTGCAAAACAGCAGTAATAAATATTTTTTTTTGTACTGAAAATAGGTTTGATCATTTTGTTCTGAAATATAGTTGAAACCATTTGTAAATTGAACAATATGTATTACTTTAAATTTCATTTTGTTTTTGGAAAAGAACACAGTAAATATAAGCAGTGTTCTTATATCAAAATGATTAGAGATTATTGGGTTTTTGTTGTAGTTAAAATCTTTAACCTTAGACAGTAATATAAAAGGTTTCCTTTCGCTTTTTCCTCTTCTTAAATTTTTCACTGTTTCATGATTGTTTCGGGTGTATTTTAGTTCAGTATAGCGCTTAGTCGACAATTCATTGCACTTCAGAAGAAATTTCAATTGATATTTTTTCATTCTCCCCTCTGCCCATCTATTTGTTCGTCTATTTGATAAAAAGTAAAATAACAAAAATATATAACTCCAAGGAAAATTCAAAACGGAAAGTCCCTTATCAAATGTCAAAATCAAAAGCTCAAACACCTCATTCGAATGGAAAACAATTGTCATATTCCTGACTTGGTACAAGCATTTCCTTGTGTAGAAAATGGTGGATTAAACCTGGTTTTATAGCTAGCTAAACCTCTCACTTCTTTGACAGTCGAAAAGAATTACATTATATTGACAACAATGTGTGAGCAAAACAAACATACATAAAAGGTAAAAATTATAAACCTTTCCATCTAACCTCTTTCCATTTTTATTGCAGGTCCTTTACTATATAGCATGCTTTTTGTCAGAAGTATGGATTTTATCCCCATAACTCTTCTATCGGGTTTTCTTTGCCAATCTCTCTCTCTCTCTCTCTCTCTCTCTCTCTCTCTCTCTCTCTCTCTTACATTTGGGTGAAGGAAAAGAAAATAATATAGTATCATTTCTTACAATATGTAGGTGTGCAATGAAGTGTTTGAATTTTGCTACAGGACTTAGTTTTCTGATTTTTTTCTTAAAGGTGTAATACCACCATTGATTTTCCCCTATTAGTCTTTGTTAAATTTGCACTTTTCAAAAAATTGTGCAGAATTTATCTTTGTTTCAAATAAAGAAATACTTGGCATAAGTGAAGTTTTATCCTGTCCAGTACTATAGAAAAAATTTCACATAACATTTCATTGCATATAAGAAAATAACCATCACTGGAAGTTAACCAATCAAATTTTCCCCCTTTTTCAACCTGTGTACAAGCTTTAGTAACCATGTAACCTCAAGTTTCCAAAATATTCTATAGAAACCCCAAATAAAAAAATAATGGTGCTTTGAAATACCCAAGATATATGTTTATGACCCAGAAATGTTTTACTGCAATGAAATGTAGGATCAATTACCTACAACTGTCAAATTCAAGGGAATATTTTTTACGACCTATTTTCGTATGCAACCGGATGTGACGTACTATGATTTGGTGGTATTACACCTAAAGAAGACTTTTTTGTTAAATTAACTGAATGTGACTTTTTTCCTTTGTAATACTGGTTATTTCAAGCATTCCTGTCAAGTTTTGTCATAATCAGTTCAATAGTTTGAGAAAAATCTAGTATAATGTAAGACGACATCTACAGCGATTCGAGCAAAATTTCGTCGAAAAATCCAAACCAAGCCGAATCATGATAGAATATAGTGTGGACCAATAAATGATCAAATATTTATCTCATCTGCCTACAAACAGTTGAATATGATACAAGATGACTTTAGAATGATAAATACTACTAATGGACCTCTTTGTCTTCCTTATAAGGTCTCTTTTGGTCCATTTATACCTCTCATTTCCTCAAAATTTCTACTTTTTAGGCCAATAAATAAATATTTTGGGGTAACTTTCACTCATTTATGATAGAAATGTTATAATAAATGATTAATTGAAGGATTCAAGCTGAATGAACTATCCGTATAAAAGTTTACTGTCTCGAAGGAGGTTTCAATAAGTCCTTACGTAACACTTAAATTTACGCCGCATTCCAGAGAGGGACATACAAAGCTTCTCTTTTGGTGAATAATTTGTTGTAACTGCTTTAAAAATAATTTCATTTACTTAAAACTATATATTAATTAAAGTATTTCTTAGGAAAAATTTTCTAGTATAGCAGAATATAAGAAATAAGGAGAAAAGGCTCCCCAAAACTCTAAGTATGGCTTGTTCTGTCAACTAATATTCATGGTAAAGTCCTATTTCAAGGAAAATTTCTCATAAAATGTGTTTTGGAGACTCAATCTACTCAGAATATTTCATTATTTGTAATATTTTACTTAAATAGCAAGAAAGTTTAACACATGAGAGTACTCACAAGGTCAAAGGTGCATGTACAGCTTCCCATATTAGGTGTAATACCACCATTGATTTTCCCCTATTAGTCTTTGTTAAATTTGCACTTTTCAAAAAATTGTGCAGAATTTATCTTTGTTTCAAATAAAGAAATACTTGGCATGAGTAAAGTTTTATCCTGTCCAGTACTATAGAAAAAATTTCACATAACATTTCATTGCATATAAGAAAATAACCATCACTGGAAGTTAACCAATCAAATTTTCCCCCCTTTTTAACCTGTGTACAAGCTTTGGTAACCATGTAACCTCAAGTTTCCAAAATATTCTATAGAAACCCCAAATAAAAAAATAATGGTGCTTTGAAATACCCAAGATATATGTTTATGACCCAGAAATGTTTTACTGCAATGAAATGTAGGATCAATTTCCTACAACTGTCAAATTCAAGGGAATATTTTTTTTCGACCTATTTTCGTATGCAACCGGATGTGACGTACTATGATTTGGTGGTATTACACCTAAACGCCTCTTCTTTTATTTTATTGTAGCAGACCTCTTAGATAACTACAGAAGTATTGTCGAGAAAATGGTAAAGTTTTCTTGTCTCTAAAAATACTTTTACAATATCTGTTGCAAGTCTTTTAATTATATTGCTTCTTACAATGTAGGTAATAATATATATCTTGTTTTAACTGTTTTACATTCTGCCATGCCAGAAACCTTTTTTAATCAGACTTTTAAAACAGAAAAGAAAACCAACAAGGGAACTTATTCACGAAGGTTCCGTAAAAGTTTTAGTTGCGGAAGGTTTACGGATGGTTTACGGGTTTATTCCGCAATGTTTACGCCGTATTCGCAGAGCGTCCGCAAAAGGTGTCAGACCACCAATTCTCCCATTCCAATCTATAACGTATGTAAAAGTAGCCCTTCCCTGACAAATAAAATAAGGCTTTTGATGGCATTGTTTACTTAAATTAACCAACAAATTTGCAGAATTGAAACTTTTGGTGAAACAAAACTATATTTAGACCATTTGAGCTAAAATTAACTTTTCCATGAGTTTGCATTAAAAATTGAGGACTAATGCGCTCCATAGTATACTTTTTTAAGATTTCCAGAAAATCAGAAATTATTTTTAGTAGCAGTTGCCTTCAGAACGTTCGCTTTTCGCTACAAGACTTTAAACATTGGTTGAAAATTGGCATGTAGAAAATTGATACATGTACAATTCAGGATATACCTATGAAGTTAAACTTAAGGTAAAATATTTAGGAAGCTGTGAAAATGGAATAAAATGGTTGGATAGATAGGGATTTTGAATTGGCGGTCTGACACCCAAAGGTACAATAATTTACAGAACGTTTCCGCAATACTTTTGACGTCTTAATTTTATTAAATTAATGTTTTACTAAAATGTCTAGTACATTTCACATTTGAGTATAATAGTATACTTGTTGTTTTCTTTGTTTCTCATTCTAAGAAATAACGTTTTCTTCATTTTTCAGCCTAGTCGTTGTCTATCCTTCCAACATGTCAGCCAAGGGAAATAAATCCAACCCAATTAAGTCATGGGAAAACAATCTATAACCATTGTTTCCAATTGCAGCATTTAGTTTAAATCTTTGTTACTTTACTAATGTATTAGATATTTGTACTGACCCACGAAAGACAAATTATCGCTTTTTAAAAAATTTAAGACTTCAGATTTGTAAAAGATTTATTTGCATAATTCTACATTTCTCTTTATGTTACTGGTAAACATATTAACTTAAAATTTGTAATTGTTGTATTTAAAGTAATGCACGTACTGACCAAAACTTTCTAATATTTATTGAGTATGTATACAACGCAAAATTACCAAATATAAGAAAGACGATTTTTTTTAATGATTATTTCTATAAAAAAAAAAATCCAGTTGTATATTAGTATGAATAATTGTTGTACTTCATTCCAATGAAACGTTAACTATCCGACTTGTGTAGATAAAATGTATATGATATATTTCATTATGTATATTTATTTACATTTAACAAAACAGTAACAATGATAAAAATCTACAAAGTCCCTAAAACCATTATAAATAAACATGACTAGAATATCATTTCAAACGTCACCCGAATAAGAAGAAAATTTACAGAAAAAGCATTTCCATGACTTAAAAAAAGTATAACAATTGTATAATTCGAGCATGGCTATAGCATGTTATTAAATTTCGCGAAGAACAATACTTAATAATACTAAAACAATTGTAAACATAACAATGCACATTGCTAATCACTATCGAAGATACATTTATAGAAAAATGGTATAAATATCTCGCCTCCAAAAGTCCTTAAATAGAACACTCAAAGAGTTCTACATTGGAACACCCTTTTCGTCATCACCATTCTCAACCTTCACTTAATACTGTTTAAAAACAGGACTACAGACACCGGTTATCATCTATCATGAACATTCAACCAACAGATAGGCTCATCTTGGACAATCTATCAACCGAACAATTGTTAAACAAACTAGATCTACTAACATCGAGACCAACAAAATTAAGCAGATCTGACATAATTCAATGTCACTAAACTGTTTTTGATATGATCTTAACATTAAAAAGAAAAGTAAATAGTAAGTTATTACCAGAAATGACAAAATCCACGCGACGACCTCTCGAAATTATGACCGAGAAGAGAAAAATTGTGCATATGGTCAAGTTTCTAAGAATTTGAAAGATTTCTAATCAAACTCAGTATGTAGATTTTGTATGTTATTTCTATTTTTCCAAAATAATTTACATGCTCTTACTAACTACAATTTAGGTGTTTTATTAGTATTTATGGTTAAGTAGTATTTCTTTTCTTGATCGTTCTTGAATACTCAGAATATGAACAAAACAGCCTAATTGTATTTGCTATCATTATCTGGAGGTCTTAACAAGTTCTACGTACTTAACATATATCTAGCTACAGGTCGATCTTTTCTGTATTCTAGAGTGATATTGTAATATACCCGGAAAAAAATTATAACTTAGTGTTCATAACAGTAACACATTCAAATTGAACATAAAAAATTACATAGCAAGCATCGTTGTTAATAAAAATGATAATAATAATAAACTGTCCGAGAAAACGTGAAATGTATTTGTTTAAATTGCGTAATATTCCTAGGAGAAGTTTTTTCTCATAAATCACGGTCCTCACTTAAATATCTGTCCCTAGATTGAACTTGTACTAATTCTTCTCTTGTTTCATACATTGGTCCATCAAATGAATATTGTCCAAATGAAGATTGTGATGGATCGTCATTGCGGCCATTTTGTTCTTTTGAATAATTTGATGAATTGAAGCCTGTGTGTCCATTTCCAACATTTCCGTTCATTGCTATAACTCCGTTGTTTGGTCCTTTGTAATCAGATGTTTGTTCCTGAAAAGCACCGTACGACAAGAACTTTCCGGTTGTGTCCGGTTTTAGTGTATCTTCCGGTCTCCATGTATCTTCTCCATGCGGTTCTGCCCAGTGTTGTTGTTCTCCGGATGCAAATATTCCATAGAATGTTATTCCAAGAAAATGAACTACGCTGGCTATAATGAAGACATTTTGCCACTCATCTGCAGTCTGTAAAAATATATATTACAATTGTAAACATAATAATATATAACAAATGTGTGAACAGTTTATGTATTTATAGTGTGTTTTTCTATGTTGTGATGTTACACTATTGTTTCAGATAAGGGTGAAGGTTTGGTACCATTAAAACGTTTAAACCCGCTGCAATTGTTTGCACCTGTCCTAAGTCAGGACTCTGATGTTCAGTAGTTGTCGTTTGTTGATATGGTTCATAAGTGTTTCTTTTTTTTTATATAGATTAGACCGTTGGTTTTCCCGTTTGAATGGTTTTACACTAGTAATATTTGGGGCCCTTTATAGGTTACTGTTCGGTCCAAAAAAAAAAAAGAAAAAAAAAGTAAGATAAAAAATTAACAATAAGGAACGAAAAAGTTTCCTTTCGGTCGTAAACTTTTATATAGAGTTTTCAGTGTGAAACCGAAATATTCGAATCTAGGAAATGGCAGTTATTGCTGTTTATATTAAATTTATTCGGGTAAATGTCCGCAGTATATTTGGAGAATGCATGATTATTTCAAGTAAAAACGATAATCAAGGTAACAGCAAGTTTTATTACCTGCGTTATTATTTTTATATCTACTTATCATTGTTTATTTAAGGTAAATGCCCCTAAAGTAATAAACTTGATCACAAAACTAATAAAAACCTACTGTTCAAGTTAGTCTGGATCAGATTTCTTCATGTATTGAAATATGTGGACAGGAAAACAAAAACATTTTATATACTGAATTACACTATAAAAGAACACAGTCAAGGAATCATTGAACTTTAGGCTTTATCTGACCAACACTTAATTGAATTATTGACAAGAAAGAGACGTGACACAACGCTTATTGACGCATTTTGACTTGTCCTCAAATCTCTGATGGGTAAATGAATGAATAATAAGTTCTTTATTATAAAATGATCAACATCAGTCTGGACTAATTGTTTTGGTGAACTTACCTAATTGACTTCATCAAGGTCCATTTATATTCATAAAAATTTATAGTCGCGGTCATTATATTCAATAATGTCCATTCAAAAGCATCCGTAGTTGTCATATGTTAATGTCCGGTTTTTCAAAGAATTCCGGGACAAATGTGACTTATGGTAAAGCAAACTTTTATTGAGTTAAAAAGAATATATCCTCGGGATTAAAGCAGTTATTTTGTTTGATTACAGTATATTTCGAGCATTAGCAGATTTTGCAGTCTTTTAACCGACTGCTATCAGAGACACAAATTATATTATGCGTTCATAGCGTTCATTTGAGTTAACTTCATCCGGAACGGTAATGTGCAAAAGCAAGGCCTCCCAAATGAATACGAGAACTATTATATTGACCATAAAGCATTTCCATGATTATCCAAATATCAAATATGCATAGATGTATTTGTAGAGTATAAACATACAAAATTATCAAAACAGCATAAACTAATGTCAACTTATGAATTTGGAACCTTATTTTCAGTAACTAACAGTCAATAATCTGAGAACGAAATAACAAAAGTGTTTTGTCTTGGTGACAACATCAGTCAGCACATAACCAATATAGATAAAATAATAAATCTTACCCCCTTTTTAGTTAACAGCTCGGTAACAACTGGACACAACATTCCAGCAAGTGTACCAATCCCATTTGATAGACCCATCAAAATGGAAGCATAACGTGGTGCTAAGTCAAGGTGGTTTACGTTGAAACCTGAAAAATACAGTACATGTAAGAGAACGATAATTTGATTTCCGGGGGGTGGGGGCAGCAGATCTGTATTGGCAGACGGAATATTCATGTTTACCTGTTCTAGGCCGCCATATATATTTCGCTTTAGAACACAACTATTACATGCATTTGTGGGGCAGAATATTTATTTTCATTATGTCTTTGACAATGCTATGTATTTTCAGTTCTTATCAGTCAAAAATAATCATCTCTAAAGTCCTTCTGCCCCCAGGAAAACAAATGGTTAAAATTTGAATGTATTTACGATTCTTTTGGAGTTCATGATATTCCATTAATATTTGTTTTTGATGTACAAGAATTGAACATCGATAAACTGCTGTCGCCTTAATTCATACAATGAGTAAACAATTGATAATATGTAATCAATTTATTAATTTTTTTTACATATTTTTACATGTATCGTTTGATGTATTGAATATAACCATAATTCGTCGGTATAATGTATTTTGTAATTATTTGAACTCTTAGTATTGAAATTGTCAAACTTACGAAAAAGACATAATTATAACCACTATCCATTTCAAATATTATACATGTAACAGGTTTTGTTTGTAATTAACATGCTGTGTCATCATTATCATCTGATAAAAATCTCCTCGAACTCACCCAGTAATTCAATTCCCTACTGTTTTTTTAAACTATATAATTTACTTTTATAGCCATCATATTTCACAATGATATGAACTTTTATTGGTTTGTTTCCAATTAAAAAGACATTAAATGCTCGATTCTGTGACATTCGATGAGACAATTCTATGAAGTAACTATTTATTGAAATCATAACACTTGTTGAAAAGGCTTTTGAATAAGACTAAAGTCCGTTGCAAATATTGATTCTTAGTCATTCTCATTATGTGACACGTACCTGAAATAGCAAAACCACTCGATCCAACAGCTAATGTCAAACATACCATTGCTCCGGTTTTATCACGCGCAAAAGCAACACCCAAGAGAAAACAAGCTTCTAGTCCGAAGCCTAAAAAATTAGATTATAATCAATTTAATATCAGTGTTCTGAATGCAACTTATAAGGTTTCGAAATCTTTACATAAAGGTTCATACACAAAGGTATCGACTTTAATATATAAACGAGAAAGGCGATTAAATAAGTTGCCTTGCATTTATTGATTTTTATAATGCATTTCATTTTTATATGCAAAATTTGCTAAAAAGACAATAAATGTGCTGTTTTCTCCTCTTTGGTCGGGTTGTTGTCTCTTTGACGCATTCCCCGTTTCCATTCTCAATTCTAATCACTATTCCATATCAGCCTCATTCCCTGGTGTGCTATATCAACTGGCAATATGAAGCACATTCCCCCCTCGAGGGTCATCCATTTAGCTGTGCCAAACGCATAAATACTTAACAACGTTCAGTGTCCTTCAGTCGGAATGGTGACGTTAAATCTTTTGCCACGTGTACTGAAAGTCACATGCTCTCATGGTCTTTTGTTTGACCTTGTGCAACATACCATCATTTTCTGTGTCAGCCCAATTTTTGTTTTGAAAAAGAAAGCCTTATTTATATATTTGCATATACTTATTTAATTTTACTTCATCATCAAATATGGAAAATGGAAAAGGACACACCAGATTGCACAGCATTTGGTAAAAACCAACATGTATACTCTTCTTTTTTCAGCTCTATTTAAAAACACAAACTGGCTACATGCAGTCTTTGGTCTTTAGTTTATCGCTACTACTGAAAATGTTTCCATCACATACAATGGCGACACAATTGTAGTTTCCTTTACATATAGCATCTATCTCATCTCTATTGTTAGATAGATATAATTCCTTTTGATTAAATAGTCTTACCTCCACAATTGAATATTTTTCTGACAGTAGTAGTGGTAAGATGCCTTTGTCGTAAATTATCTGCTATTTGCCCACCAATAGGCACGATAATAGCCATAACTAAATGAGGTAGTGCCGACAGAATACCACTCTAAAAGATGTTGAAGAAAATAAGATACATTTAAGGATGTTTGCTACTCTATTTCAAAATAACAAGCTTTTTAAAATACCGTTATAAATTGATAGTATATAAATGAAGGAACTAAAAAAGCAGAAAAAAATGAACGGTCCGTGTGCTTGTTTTCGAGATATAAGCCATTGAACATTTGGTGGGAAATGATTCTCTCTAGATTTTTCATACATTTAACATTGTCACCTTTTTTCTTTCAAAAACAATGAAAGAATAACAAGGATTTTATAAGATTTTCAAATAAGGATGTTTAAACTACATGTAATAAAATTCTGAAAAGAGAAGTAGGGGTTAGCGGGAAAATTTTTTAATGGCCCTTCATGGATAAAATCAGAGGATTCCGAATATCTGGCAAAAACATCAAAAAACAAGAGGAGCGAACATCCTTAAGTATAGGTTCAACGGTGTTTTAAAAGTGTGAGTTCTTACAATACTAGGTTTTTAAAGCATACGTCTGACGAATCTAAAAGTCCAGGAACAGAGTTTTTACTGTCCAGGAACAGAGTTTTTACTGATGTTAGTTATTAGAAATGTATTTTAAAATTAAATAATCCAAAATTGTAACGTGCTTCAGTACAATACTCATGAATGTGATTTTGAAGTACAGCCTCAGTTAGTTATTGTAATTTTTTATCCGTTTCACGAATAGATAGTATTATGACTGAAAATACTAAAACAAAAGCAACAGGGTAGAAGATCATATTTCGGCATAGTAAAGTCTTTAACACGCAGCAAGATCTCACAACTCACAGCAACTTCAAGACCGCTTTGACCGAAATCTTTTGCCAGATGATGATACCGTCTCATATATGCATTGAATTGTAAAGATAATTTGCAGAACTATTTATCATTAATGACTCTTTCGGAAGAAATTACGCTTTTACCCAGCATTAAATAATGTAATTTTTATAGTAATAGTAAAACTGTCAATTTGTACTTGAAAATGCGTAAATGTGCTTCATTTGGCCTTTTAACTATTTTGGATTCGAGCGTCACTGATGAGTCGTTTGAAGATGAAACGCACAACTTGCGTACAAAAATAAAAAGCCTGGTATCTGTGATGAGTTTTGTTATCGTTTATTTTTCAAGTTACAACCTATAAAGATGTTGATCTCCAAGGTAAGGTAAACAGCAGTGTCATTTGTATTGCTAAGTATGGTACGTTCAATATAAAATATAAATAAGATATTTAATTACAAAACCCGAAGAATCAAAATATGTTATATTTTTAGAATTGAAAACATTATTATAGATGCAGCAATGCTATTTTTAGAATGCAGAGACATGTACACTTCACGATCACATTTTTATAAAAATATTTACCGAGTAAATACATATTTCAGCCGGTTTCCCGACGAACACGTTAATACAAATACATTTTGTATACCTTCAAACAAGCATGCCATTCTAAACAGTATATGCATGTTCGTTTTGTGTCATAAATCATTGTTAGTTCAAATAAGTTCTGCTTATTTCAGACAGTTATTTTATATTCTGCTGATCTTTTGATAAGATATGTCAAGGTCAGGACACGATCCCTACAATACACTTTTTTTTTCAACCGATGAATTGGTTATGCATTGAGTCTAGTGTTCAATCATGAACAGAGTCAACAGGTACTTTTAGCTAATTACTTATTAATTAGTCAAAAGGATGAAGGACTTGAATTCATCTACTTTCGTAAGTACAGTAGTGCGAGAAAGCTTAACAATAAGCTCCAGAATCGGATTAGGGGTAAAACAATAAGATCCGGAATCGGATTAGGAGAAAAAATGTAATGATGGCATTAATTTTCGTTATGCTATTGCACGAATTACATTCTTGATATAGTGATTAATAGGTGAGTTTAATTTTATATGACAAGCAAATGAAAACAGACAAGGTTATAAACTGATTAAGTCCTGGCGAAATGGAATTTTAATCAAATAAATGGTAGACTGATTAGGTTCCGGTAACTTTGCTCTTAAAACTGGTAACAAAAGTTATAAAATATTAAGATTGATCTTAGAACAATAGATAGCATGATAAATGAGGTGCCAATAAAGAAATTCTCAAAATTGACATGCTCATCCTTCAAAAGAACATTTACTGGAGTAATTCAGTATGTATCAAAGTCATTCAGTATCACATATGACATTTGCAGAAAGGCAACCTATATATTTTTACTGGCATGTAGTTTAATAACAACACAATCGACGTGACCTCAAGATATATACATATACCCAATATAATAATTATTATTGTATGTACAACTAATATCGTTTTTGTTGTCAATATAATGGAATGCTATATGACTGTCATACAAGTGAGAAGTTTAGCTAGCTATAAAACCAGGTTTAAGGAAATGCCTGTACCAAGTCAGGAATATGACAGTTGTTTTCCATTTGTTTGATGTGTTTGAGCTTTCGATTTTGCCACTGGATAAGGGACTTTCCGTTTTGAATTTTCCTTGGAGTTCGGTATTTTTGTTATTTTTTCCACTAGTACTTTATTTATTTTTCTTGCTCATTTATTTGATTTTAGTTCCTAGTCTCATCTTTTTGTTAAAACCATTCGTTTCTCTCTTGTTGTCTCTTCACTTTGGCCTTGCCTTAATTTTCTTTTTGTGTTTATGCCTTTCATCATCTTCAAAACATGTAAATGTTGAAGTGATATCTATCGGATTGTAATAAGTTTCTCTTTACGTAGCTTTAACAATTTTATAGCGTTACCTGTTCTATTTTATTACAATTACCTTGGCAACATCGTCATGAAAAACTTCTTTGAAATACATAGGCTGACTAATAATAAGCAGATAAAATGTCCAGCTTCTACAGAAATTAGCTACGTTTATGGCATATACCGGCATGGATGTAAAAAAGCTTAACCATGGCGTTCTCATATTCTAGAAAAAAAAAGAGAAATATAATAAAAAGTTTTGAACCACACAAATTTGCTTTATATAACTTAATTGTTAGTGTTTCTAAACTGTACGTTAATATAACTTTACTGTTGCTATTCATTTCATAAATAAGTATATTTTATTTTACTTTAAGTTAAAACATCATCATCTGCAAGAGAAGCGAAAGATACCAAAGGGACATTCAAAAACAAACTACTCAAGTAAATTTTCAAAAAGTGTTCTGATACTATTGTTTTAGTTTCACGCATACCTTTTGGTGTCATTCAAATTAAATGAATGGTCCCTTTGTGTATTTTCAAAACTAGGTTTATTATAGATTATTCATTTCTCAAATCTATATCCATCGTCACGCGTGATATTATTATCAAATTTAATTTGATTACGAATGAAACCTTGCGCTATCATTTGAAATAATTGCTAAGCAGTAGTATAATTGCAAAATTCATTTATAATGTAATTGAGTTTTGCACTTTTCAGACTTCAAATTTGTCAAAAGCAATTATCTGGTATAATGTCGTTAGAATTATTGTCATTTCGAAAGCCTTAATACAAAGCCAGAACATTTTCAAAAAGCCATACTAATGCATGCTAAAATGCTTAGATTTTCAATAATGCTACTAAAAGCCTCTTTATTGAGATCCATAATCATTTTTCTTAGATCCGGAATTACAGACAATTTGAGGTTACCAAATGAATGCAATTGGTAAAACTATTTTTGTAAATATGCATATTGAAATTATCCTACTGACATCATGCCAATACTAGCAAAAAAGTGGGTTTATTGCTGTACCTAATTTGGAACAACTTTTCTGAATTTTCGGTTTTAATGCTCTTCAACTTCTTACTTAATTTGGCCTACCAACTGTTTTGATTCAACTCGCAGCGTCACTGATGAGTCTTATATAAACGAAACGCGCATCTGGCGAAACAAATTGTTAGCCTGGTATCGTTGATTAGTTTTTATAGAATTGGATGGTTAGAACATTAACAGCGTTTCTTTTTACAAATATGTATACCGTAGCATTCATTCTAATTATCATAACAGTGGTGACAATTGAAATGAACAAAAAGATACTTAAAGCATGTAATTACTGGTTTTTTTTCATTAATTTGTGTGAAACATAAAAATCAAAACGTCTTGTTCTCTTTATCTTTTACACATTTGTATATTCCTCCTTTAAAAAAAAACTTGTATTTGGAAACCATAGCTTGAATCTTGTATATTAAGATAATGATTAGATAAATTTTCATTTTTGCATATTGTTAAATCATAGATAGATACCAGAAGAAATTTATAAGATTTTGTCCAATCTTTTTCAGTTATTTGAAGTTTCTTTTTTCCAAGTAATTCTATTTTTTTCTAAAAACATGCAGTTATATTCCGAATTTCATACTAATACATGCATTGTTTACTCATATGAAAAGAAAACAGACTATCCAAGTTTAAATAAAAAATCTTTAAAGTCTCCCATTGAATAGTATTCATATACTTTACTTAAGATAAGACTTAATTAATTAAATCAACTTGACGAACAATTCCATATGTGTCCCTCTTTGTTGTGTAGTGTTCTCGATTGTGTTTAAAGCAAAATGTATTGGACGACTTTCCTAATGGTGGAACCTAATCAAATCAAAATACTATTGATGGCAACATAAAACCCTTTAATGTCATGAATAGACATTATACTAACTCATTGTATTCCTAGATATTTGCCAGACACCGAGTGATAAAATCGGAAAAGAACGGGATTATTTAATTATCAATCGATTCGAAAGATAGAAATTCTATAACAAAACATCTGAGAACTGGAATATGTAATGTTCAATTTTTACAGTAGGTTGTTGTCGTGTCAGCTCTGTTTTAAAGAACAGGAAAGATAAATGTCTTGTTATTCAGATTATATTAGAGTTCCCTATAGATTAAACGATAGACAAATCTTGTCAAAGCTCGTAAAGAATAAGCAAAAATTAGATTTAAGAATAAGACTCACTTTGTTTGTTAAAGATGAACTTTCACCAATGGATGTTTCAATATAAATAAGTTCCTCTTGAGATATATAAGGATTACACGCTGGCCTTTCAAATGAAAAGAACCAAAAAATTATAGCCCATATGATACCCATAGCACCTGTAAAAAGAAAAAAAAAGGTTCATATCAAAGCCATTATGATAACATTTGCACCTGTACCAAGAAAAAAAGGACCGAATTATATAGCTTTTATAATACTCTTAGCACCTGTAAAAAAATCAATACAATAGTTGAGCATATAGTATACAAGGTACCTATTAAAAAGAAAAAAAAAGGTCTATCATATAGCCCATTTGATCCATAGTATAGTCTATATAATACCCGAGACACTTGTGAAAAAAAGATATATTGTAAAGTCCATATGATTCCAATTGTACATAACGAACAGAAAATATACATTAAAGTCCAAAACACATGCAAAACAGAAAGAAACTCATTTAATTGGCCATATGATTTCAACTGCAACTGAAACATAGAAAGAAATCCATTTTAAAGACCAAACGATACAAATAACGCATTTGAAAGATAAAAAATCCATATAAAGTAGATGTGAAAATAAGAAAACTATCTATCTTATAGTCCATATGATTCCAATATAACCTTCTAAAAGAAAACTATCTATCTTATAGTCCATATGATTCCAATATAACCTTCTAAAAGAAAACTATCTATCTAATAGTCCATATGATTCCAATATAACCTTCTAAAAGAAAACTTTGTTTTCATCTTAAATTTTAAGTTGCTTGAAAATCACTAGGCAGAGTTGGCAGTTAGTTGCCAACTACTTCTATGTGGCTCTCTTTGAAGAAAAACACCCCAAAAGAAGCGATATTATATGCATATCAATTGTATTTTATAGAAACCTGGAAGTTTAGAACATTTGTTATCCCATTAGACGGTTTGGATTTTTTTTTTTGTTTTGATGCTCCTGAAAGGTTTTCAAAACATATATATATATATATTTTAATTTTTACGAAACATTTTAAAGACTTTACTCCAATTTTAAAATGACATTAGTAGTCTCCCTTGTATTTGTTAACGTCATACTATTGTTAACGTCAATCAATTGTTTTATAACATTTATGTATACAAGTCACATTACCTGAAGATCTGTGAAAGCAGTGAAAGCGCTAGTAAAAGTGATGAATTGAAACCGTCATTATCTTATATATTAATTTTCTTATATGTTACCAGCATACGGATTCTATTTGAATTTTTTCTATATATATATATATATATATATATATATATATATATATATATATATATAATGTACTTTCGATCTTAAACGTATTTTAGAAAATAATTGTCTCAAGTTTTTCAATGGCATATTTGGATTCCAAAAGTTTAACCAAAACCAACAGAATAATAATAAGAACAATTTTTAACAAACAAATAGTTACCAAACACATAGAATCCTGACTGCCAACCAAAATTCTTTGTTAAAATTCCAGACAGGGGCATTCCCAAAACTGCACCAGCGTAAGAACCTGTAGGTAAAAATATTTATATGTCTTTATCAAATAGATTTCGATACAATTTTATTAATTGTGAAATGATTGTAGGATTTTTAGATATCGATTACCTTATTCTTTGTATAATTGTAGGAAATAGAAATTACATCGTTCTTTTGAAATTTCTTGAAAAGCTAGTAAAGCGAATATGTATATATTTTTGTTCATTATAGAGCAATCTGAATTTAAGCATAGTTATACAGGTAGACTCGCTTCATATTCTACTGATTGTTTCTCGCATTCGATTATGTATGTAATTCAATTCAGAACGGACTCCGAGTTCATATTTACTGAAGTGTGACTCATAGTATTGATAATTTATACCCATAACACTTTTTACTTACCACAGAATGATATGGTTGCCAGTTTGGAACGTTCTAGTGGAGGAGCCCAATGCCGCCAAATACCATGACATGCAGGATATGTGACTCCCTATTGAAATACAAATGAACTGAACTGATTTTATAAAATTTCTCAACTATTGTGATTTTCATTAGGAAATGTAAGGGTAATGAATACCTGTTATGACAACAACAACAACAACAACAACAATAATAATAATAATAATATAAATTAATAATAATAATAATAATAATAATAATAGTTGAAAAAAACTTTTTTTTAATACGATTTACATAATATTTGAATATGAATCAACGAATATGTCAATTTGCCCAAAGTATTTGGCAAATAAAATTTAATTTTTGTCTCGCATTTGGAAATGAACGTTAATCGCAGGGTCAATCCTTTACAAAAGACATTTGCGTTGTAACAAACGCTATATTTGCACCTTTCATTATAAAAGAGAAACTTTTCAGGAAAAGTATAATGAAAAAGGATAATTTGTTTCTCAAATCACATGAATCCCTTTAGATTTCTTTCCTTTTAAACTTAAAATTCCAAGATTAATCTATTGTGCAAGTCGATCTTTTTTGTTGAAAGTGGTAACAAATAAATGAATTTGAGCTAAATCATAATGGAAAAATAAATTTAGATATTACATAATGAAAATTGAATTGTCTCTAATACGATTTGGCCCTTTTATAATTCAGGTCATGATATCCAATAGCGATAAAAGATGCATCATTTTATTCGCAGTGTTAATTTAACGCGTTGCTTTAATGAAGAGTAAATTACAACCGACACGTCTGTAGTTAATTAAAATTGAATTAAAATGCAATCAAGCTGGAACACTGTTTTCAAATAACGTCAAACTGACACACAGTTTAAATAATTTGAAACGATAAAAGCAGTAGAAGCAACATTTTCAATAGAAGTAATGGAAAGCACGTGACACAAGAACAATAAATGTAGTATCCCGCTCATTTTACATAGAAATTAATTTTACCAAACTGTTACAAAGCTGCCGACGGAAAAAGCAAACTAATAATTGATTATAATAATACTCAAACGTATATAGCGTTCCCGGATTTTAATATAATCTTTGTAATCCTAATCCGAAATGAGTTGTCTTTCAAAGGAAAGATTGATGGCTGCAAATTAATCTTGCTCTTATTCATACAATAAACTGAACACGCTTTTCTAATGGGAAAGCATCAAGCATTCAAATGGAATACATAACTGAGGTGAAAAATGTAATTCTAATATCCCTTTGAAGCCTTTATACTAGACTGAATAACAATATCTCAGAAATGGAAAGAAACCGACAGCATTTCTTCTTTATACACGTTGTTGGTCTTTTAATCATGGAACAACAAATCTATTATAGCGCAGCACGAATGAGGTAAAGGGACAACAAGATCTTATTGATTGAAATATTGCTAATTGTTCATTCCCTTGATGAATTAGCATACATGAATATGTTTTTTTATATGTTCTTTTGTGTATTCATTTTAAATTGTAATAAGTTTGTCAGTTGTTGAGACCATAAGTTGAACTCTAGATGTCTTTTTTAAAATTTTTAAAATTGTAATAGGTTGCTGTGAAAGAGAGGCGGATGATACCAAAGAAATAATTCAATACATAAATCGAAGACAATGAAACTAACAACAAAACACAAAAATAGAAAAAAAACAAACAACTACTACAAAACACAACATAGACAACTAAAGACTGAGCAACACGAACCCAACAAAAGCGATCTCAGTATATCTCACACCTCTTTTTTTCATATTTATTAAAAGATTTTCATTCTATTTTAAATTGATTGGTTAGATCCGGAATGGTATCAATAAGAATTTGAATGGGATAAAAATGGCAAAGAATAATCTTATATAGATTTGTATGCAGTATGCGAGTATCTGTTCATGTTACATAATATATATATATTGCTGATGTGTTTCGGTTGTTTGTGTTGTTGGGTTACTTGACAAAAACCCCACATCTTTTTATTTAGATAAAATTAAGCACGTCTTTTTGTTAAACTAAAGTAGTTTCGAGAATTTTTTAAAGTATGAAATAAAATGCAGCATTTAAATATCCCTAAACAATAATTATTTCCATTTCCCATCAGACAAGTAAATGTTTCTGTTTAGCAAGTAGCACTTGTTACAGTATATGGCAATTATTTGTTCTTTGTTAACTGCATATGCATCACAAAGTGCTATCAAGATCTATACACAATTTGTACTAAAAAATTATAAAGGATAAGGTGAGATAAGAGCTTTTATCTTGCTCCTGAAAAAGGCAAAATAGTAACAATCTTTAATAATGTCAGCATTATGTTATTATCGAATAATTGTATAAGAACCGAAACATGTGAAGAGCTACAGATCTATGACCAAAAGGGACCTTAAAATAATAGCTAAATTTGTCCGAGTTCAAATTTGCCTGAGGAAGTATGGAACACAAGTTTCACAATTAATTTCTATCAACGGAGAATTTTAGAAGGGTATGTTATTAATCTTGTCAGTACGGAATCACTGACAACTGAGCGGATGATACCCTCACGGAATGATATAAAAATAAGAAGATGTGGTATAATTGCCAATGAGACAACTCTCCACCAGAGACCAAATGACATAGAAGTTAATAACTATAGGTTACTGTACGGCCTTCAACAATGAGAAAAACCCATACCGCATAGTCAGCTATAAAAGGCCCCGAAATGACAAATGTAAAACAATTCAAACGAGAAAACTAACGGCCTGATTTATGTAAAAAAAAAACAATAAACGAAATACAAATACAAATAGTCCACTAGCAGTGGTATCTACCCAGTGCTAGAAAAACATGGACATATTTCACACAATAGGTTTTTGCAAGATTAGATTTGAGCCAAGGTCCTACCGAAAATATATTCAATTTTAGATTAAAGTCTTTCTAAAATAAATCTGATAGCAAAATATCTTTTTGTTTGTAAATCAGACTCAGAACTGAAAATCAGTAGGATCTCAAATTAAGGCTATTTTAGCAGTGTTTGGAGAAGATCTGATAATGCAACTTTTACGTTTTTTTTTTGGATGACAAAAACACGGCATACCCTTGGTAAAATCTCCAATGGACCAATAAACCACGGCGTCCATAATTAATAATTATATCTTAAATAGCCCAATTGTTAAAAGCCGATAAAGAGCTGTCTAATTTGCTAAATATTTTTTATCTAACGAATCCTGATTATAATGAGGTTTAGACACAAAAGGATGTGTGATAGGTGTACTATTATCACCATCAATTGACATACATATTTTAATTGAGTCTGCATAAATCTCTATCATTTTAAAATCTGGAAAAACTTGAGGTTTGATCGGTTTTGCTTATTTACAGGGACAAATACACCAAAAATGTAAATCTCCTTTGTCGTTTTGGTCTAAAACATAACCAGACATATCATACGTACCTCTACTATTCCTTGTAAAATTCGAACAGCCATTACAAGACCAAAATGCACCTGTGCAGCACCCGGTAGTAATAAATTTAAGAAGGCAGATGTTCCTATTGCAAGACCAAATATCCTGAAAGAAATTTCATTATCTTAAAATCAACAGAAGTTTGTTACTTTTATAAACAATGCGATAAAAGTATACATTTCTTTAAACATATTTTAATGAAATGCTGTCATTAGAATAAGAATAAATTGTTGTGAGTGGAAGAAATTCATATCGCACTGATATGTCGTCTAGTTAATCTTAAAGAGATAGATTTAACTGTAATATATGTAATTTTCAAATGCTTGATTCTTATTAAAAAATCTGTTTCCCAAATTTAAAAAAAATTACAAAATGATGACTCTCTCGGCCTGATCAGCCATGTGGTAAACACAAATGGTAAGTTCAAATTTCATCATTTATTTTTTATCAAATAGTTTTGTCATCGAGTGTAGGAAGTACACAAGCTCATCGAGTGAGAACATTTTAGAAAGGTCTGACGTTAAAGAGCTTATTGGAGCAAAGAAGAAGATCAAACAAATAAAAACTGTATTTTTAGTGTGTTGTTTACTAGTATTTCCCTTCAGTTAACACGTTTTGAGTATAATTTCCAGTTTACAAAAAGGATTGGTTTCTGAAAAAACTGGTTTCCCCCATTCTATAAAATATTAAACTTATATTACTAGTAAGTAAAAGTTGAGAAAAGCATAACTACCTATTAGCAGGAAGTCTGGATGCTAGATACCCTCCTGGTATCTGCGTTACAATATAACCCCAGAAGAAAGAGCTGTCCACTGCACCTATTGTTTCAGGTGTCCATGAAAATTCTGGTAAACGCTAAAATTAAAGCATATAATTTCTTTGTCGTGACTTTTATGTACTTTTGGTTATACCAAGATTATAGTTTATTGAGAGAAAGCACTATTCAATCGAATAAATATGGTGAACTAAAGCAGTTTGATAGTAACATTTTGTGAAATCCGTTTTTATTAAAAAAATAAGGAGATGTGGTATGATTGCCAAATGAGACAACTATCCATAGACATTAAGACTAAAATGTGCATGTCTCTCTGTGTTTGTGATCTTATTGATCGTCAATTCTCTCTAAAATGTATTCCGAGTTCTGTACAATTTATGTTTTCTTCATAAGGAATCCCTGCGTATTTCTTACTTAAATTTTTTTTTAAACATATACATCTGTGTCATGTGTTCAATAAGTCTATGGTTATTCCAATCAGAACTACGTTAGAAATATATAGTGCTTAGTACTGTAGTTAATCTATTGTACAAAATATAAAAATGTCATTTCATTCTACATCTACATTAATATAAGTATAAACTATCTAATATAACTAATTGCATTGAAACTTACTAAAAAGGGATGGGTTTTATTAGTTTCAGAGCTGTTAGAAGATATAGATAAGTTACTATCACTATCACTACTAGATTCCAATTCTTTAGTCATTGTTACAATAGCCACTCCCATATTACATCGTATTCCGAATGATATGATAAATCCTATACTGCTAAGACATGCTATAAGGTAGCGTTGGGAAACACAACGACAGCAGTCACATTTAAAATGGAATGGTTTTGATTTTCGGACTTCCTCTTCGTCCATGTACGCCTCATCGAGTTCGTCATATTTAACAAAGGATTTTTCATCAGCATCTTTCCGCATGACCCTGTAAATAAAAATAGAAATGCTGGTAATTGTATTGTATTGCTGGTATTGTGCACACTGAAAAAGTGCACTTTATTAAAAGAGTAAGACAAATGATGATAATAAACATGCAATGATTATTAAGTTCAAATCATATAAAACTAAATATAGGTATAGCTTATAGGATACGCGATTCGCGAGAAATTAATATTAAGAGTTACCTTTAAGCGTTTTAGTAAAGTTAAGAGGAGATTTGGTTTTCTGATTCGCATTCTACCGCTTAATTTGTCCATACGAACAACATTTCTTTTGTGAATAATCATTTGGTTCTTGAATGCTTTCGATATTTCCTTCTCACAAATATATGTTAAAACTAATTAGTTTTTGGCCTGTTTTAAAGAAAATAATGCAATATTTCGATCTTCAATAACGGTGAATCTTCATTTCATTTGAAAGATCTTACAATAATATCTTTAATTCTATGACTTAATAAATAAATAATATATACATATCAAAAGGTTCTTAAAGAACAGCAGGTATTGGTTTTGTTAATAGTCATCAATTACTTTTTCACTGTAACAGTAAAATTTGATAGATGTATCTGTAAAGCATAATCTATTTTTTGAAAACTAACAGCAACATGCATCTATATACGAAACAATTAAATGAGTTCATACCACAAATTCGCATGTTGGCAAATATCTTGTAGAACATTGTCAGGTTTTGATTATGTTCACGTTTAAAACAAATAATATTACGAATGCCATATTTGTCAAAGAAAATTATGACCAGCGTTTATTTCGAAAAGAGTTGTTCTTTTTAAAGGACAATTTAGATACGCGCAAATTTCTGCAAGCTACAACATTAACGTTTTATTGTTTTCTTGATTATTTTCTGTTTAAATCATGTCACATCTTGTTTTCCCTGAAATCTAATCAGCTACAAACTGTACTTTTACAATTTTAATCATAAAAAAACCAAGCGAAGTTATTAGTGCATGCAAAATGATAAAATATCGTATTGCATAAAGCAATTCGAATCGCCCTCAGCAAAAACTTAAATGATGATTGTTTTGATTGAAATACAGGAACCTGTTTTGTTTGCTTTCATTAGTTTTTTTGTATCCTTATAATGTATCCATTTATCAACAATCTCCGTTATATGTTCGTTTGATTAAATCCAAATGAGATTTTATTGCCATCTATATTGACATAAGTGACAACCAGATTGAAAATCCACTTTGGCGGGAATTATTGCAGACGACAAACAATTGCACGGATCTTTGCTATCATGAGCAAATATAATCTTCTCACTGTTAATTAAACATTGGGTTCGCAACTGTTTAATATCTAAAGGCACAAGGAGGAAAAATTTGCACAACGAAAATCCGTTACTTTGAAGAATGTAGAAGCAGAAACCACAAACACACACATACACAAGTAAAAAGGCGCATTCGATTTCTTACTGATTGAAAATATGTGCTGTTGTTCTCCTTAGCAGCATAACTCAATTGTTGTGTTTATCTGCACTTTGAGGACAGCATATAATACTTTGCTGCGTGATCGACAGTAGAAAGAACTCCGGTGCTGGAGGCCATCTTCAACCTGCAGTGTAGTGTGCAATTTTGTCCCATATTGAGACCTCGTTTCAGTGAATTTGATATAAAGAAGAAAAAAATGGTTCCTTTGCTTTTAATTATATCTTAGACATGGAAGGATTATGTTATTCTAAATTTTACTCCATATCCCTTCTTATTACTCGAAAATCTGTTCTAATTAGGTATAATCAACGTTTATCATTAGCCATGTACAAAATCCAGTTTTATACGTGACATCACGAATTTCAGCTTAAATATTTCTACAGATGATAAAAAGGAAAGGTTAAAATCTTTAAATTTTGCAGCAATTATTGAGCTTGAAAAAGTAACATTATGTAGAAGAATACTGCCCCATATTTTTTTTAAATGAAACTTAATATTATTTCAATAACAAATTTTTCCCATCGCATCCCTCAACAATCATGACAATCCTACTTGTAATGATCTGTTTTGATTGTCTTTATAAATCTTATTGATTTCACTGACAGATATATCTTGTCACTTTCTCTTAATATAAAGACAGAGATTGTGACGGGATCAAGCTATATTGGGACCTTAAGTCAAGTAATAATAACAAAGAAAACCCATAACAAATAAATAGAAAAGACAATTAGAATATGTTACTAACGATAAGTCGGACGGGATACGATAATCTAAGGAACTAAAAGTAAGACAGCACAATTGAAAAAAAATATCTCCATCCAATGATATACGACATTTGTCCTCTCATGAAAGAGAAATATTTGAAAATTTTATGGCTTAAAAGGTCGGGTGAGAAGAAATATCTTATTGCAAGAGAAGCTATGGTGGGAAATTCTAAATTCTTCTTCAGAATTTTTATTATGTATAGGCATGCGTGTTCTTTTTCTGTGTCGTCATCAGCCGCGAGCATCTGCCATTCTCCTTTTACATACCGTCCATCTGATACAAATACAATACTGTTGTTTTTTCACACTACAGAAGTTATCAAAAATAACATAGATTTTTTTTTTACAATAAGCTTTTATAAGATGAAAATGGAAAAATGATTTAATGTGAGTTCACTTGGACCATTGTGCTTCACCCATATATCGAAACAATAAATCTTGTCGACAGAATTTAGCAGTAGGACGTTTTTTATATATCAAAGTTTAATAAAAAAAATATCGACAAAACATTATTAATAAGGAAGTTATCATACAAAAAATATGTTAAAATTCTGCTGAAGGGGATGTCTATGTTACACAAATAAGAAATAACATATGGCATATAAATTAAGAGAGTCAACAGACTATTTATTGTTTAACTTACAGCTACCATGAATTTGTAAGTGACAGTTTACATACAGTAAAAGTTAATTTTAAAAGTTGTAATGGGTTAAAATTGGTGGGGTACACATGGGTGGGGTCAGGATGCCGATTTTTACACTTTAAACCGACAAAATTCGAAGACACATATAATTATTTATTATATATTTCCTGTTGAGTAATACTTGTCATTTTGATATATTGGAATATCTCAAAGTATGTGTCTGAAATAGACCAACATCTGATTATGCTTGCTATATTGAATTACTGTTACGTTTCAAAAGTTATTTTGAAAAACGTAGCATTTTTTTTAGAAACGAGAGTTTGACACTGTATCTTAAAACTAGTTATATAGTCGTATAATTTAATAATTCGATTCAAATAATAATAACGATGCATTTTTCCGTCTTATCAATTTAATTCAACAGTATCATTTGCCCAATAGTTATTGCCGATATGATAACTAAGACGTCATAATAGACAATTAAGTTCATGAGTGTGTACTAGTTTTCTTACATCTAAATAGTTTCATTCATCTTGTTGTCAGCGTTTCATCACTGGTAAAAAAATTCACAGTTGATAAACTATATATATATGTACCGTTTACAAAAGTCGAATATCTATAATGCACAATGACAAAATATAGACGGTTTTGGCTATTCTATTTATAGCCTACCGTCCATTGAAACATCTTTGACATTGACGTGTTTGGTTTTGAACCTTTTAGATAGCAAATTCACCAAAGATCAAATGACAAGGATTAAACAACTACAGGTCACCATACAGGCTTGAACAATGAGATATTACCATACCGTATAATAAGCTATAAAAGACACCGGGATAACAGAATGTGAAACAAGACAAACAAGAAAACCAAACGCCTAATGAATAAAACTTACATTAAACGGAAATCAATTATGACAGACAGCAACCAACGACTAACACTTTATTACGGGCTCCTGACTTGGGATAGGCAGATATAAAAAATGAGGCGGCTTAAAACAATCACATCATGTTTGTGCACGCACTACCCGGCATTAATCTGAGACAAGTGTAACAGTACAATAGAACAAAAATTTATATAAAAATGTTATGCACGAATGTTTTTTGCTTTTTTAAGATAGATTTTATTTGAAATTAGTGCTTACTGATAGATAACTTTTTTTTACCTTTAAAAACTATTATTCATTTGAAAATTATTTTAAAGTCTTGTACACGTCAGCGTCAAACACCTTATAAATCTATATGCTTTACTTTTTAATATTCGACTAAACTGAGACAGAAAACTTGTGAAATAACAAAAGCATTAATTATTAAACTTAGTAAAATGTCACCTCAAATGCCTGGTTTTCTTCAGAACTTGTCACTATAAATTTCCCAAGTTACAAACGTATCAAAATTCGTTGTGACAGAAACAAACCTTATCCATAAATCTATTTCTGGTCTTAAATTGTCAATTTCCGTTAAGCGCTTAAGAACAACCCTACAAAGTCTTTGCTAATTTAATGTTGTTAAATTGTCGCTTTTCTCAATGCGGTTCCAGCGAAGCGTTTCTAGACAACATTTAAATAGTTTTACGTAGAGTAATAATTCTTAAAGAGTTGAATAAGATTGCGTTTCATAGCTGTAATCAACATATGACAAGCTGATTGCAAGGTTTTACAATGCCATATTTATTGCAAATGTCTTCTTTATTTCGACAGTGACATTGTGTCGGTTCTAATTCGCATGTAAAACCCGTTCAGAAGAGCTTTATCTTAAGAAATTATTTTTCAGTGTTATGTAATTTTTTTTTTCAAACCGTCGATCTTTTGTGTTTTCAGGGAAACAGATATAAAAGTTAAAGAAAATATCATACAGTAAATGAGTGGTAAAGTTGTCAAAAATCAAGTTATAATTTAAGATGATTGAAATTTTATACGCAATAGTCGATTCTACTGAATCAGTTAAATAGTTGCACAAACAATTTTTGTAACTATGGTGTGAAATTGTGGATTCGGAATAAATAAAATTGAGAATGGAAATAGGGAATGTGTCAAAGAGACAACAACCCGACCATAGAACAGACAACAGCAGAAGGTCACCAACAGGTCTTCAATGCAGCGAGAAATTCCCGCACCCGGAGGCGTCCTTCAGCTA